AAGTAAGGATAAAAGGTCTAAAAATTACTATGCATGCAGTGATTGTAATATTTGAAACCTTAATTAAAATCAAACTAGCATAAATTTTCATCAACCACACACGATTTCCCAAGTGTTTCTCATAGGCTAGGATCCTTAGTTTTGACCCTAATCTGAATCTGTTGGTTTCATTCTCTGCAGAAAGAACACTGTGGAGAGAGGAGATGGATGTCTACAACCAAACTGCCATCACAGAGTTCATCCTCCTAGGGTTCTCTGACCTCCCGGAGATGCGCTACATTCTCTTTATGGTTTTTGGTGCCATCTATCAAGTCACATTGATGGGAAATGGGGCCATTCTTCTTGCCATTGGGACTGAAAAAAAAACTCCGCACACCCATGTATTATTTTTTGGCAAATCTGTCCCTCTTAGATATTTTCTGCCCATCATCCACTGTTCCCAAGATTCTTAAGAACCTTTTGTCTGAGAAGCGAAGCATTTCTTTTGCTGGATGTGCTTTGCAGCTATTTTTCCTAGTGGGCCTGGTAGGAAGAGAAGTCTTCCTTCTCACTGTCATGGCTTATGACAGGTATGTGGCCATATGTTTTCCTCTTCATTACACTCTTATCATGACAAAATGGCGCTGTGTCCACCTCACCGGTGGTACCTGGGCAGCAGGGTTTCTGAACTCCATAGTGCACACGGTGTTCACGTTCCGCCTATCTTTCTGTAAGTCTAATCGAGTCAACCAGTATTATTGTGACATCCCTCCAGTGGTGGCCCTCTCCTGCTCTTCCACATATGTGGCAGAAATGCTTGTCTTAGTGTTAGCATGTCTCTTAGGGATCAGCACCTTCCTGACCACTGGTATCTCTTATATCTACATCATGTCAACCATCCTGAAGATGCAGTCAGCTGAAGGAAAGCGCAAAGCCTTCTCCACATGTGCTTCTCACCTCCTTGTGGTTTGTTTGTTCTATGGCACAGTGATACTTAACTATGCCCGCCCCTCCTCCAGTCACCACTCCTCAGTCACAGACAGGCTTATTTCAATGATGAATGGGGTTATTACCCCAATGCTAAACCCTATGATCTACAGCTTGAGAAACACAGAGGTAAAAGGAGCACTCAGAAATGTTTTATGTCATAGGACATGTTTATAGTAAGGATGATATGATTCATTTTATAATCCTCTAAATGGAATTTCACATAAAGGGTTGGAAATGTTCATAGGAATAATAATTTTCTATTGACATATAGAGCACATACCTGTGTATATACAGAAATCAATATACCTGTATATACAAGTAACAATAAACATACCTATCTATAAGGAACTCTTTTGGCACAGTGGGCATACTTTGGGCTCCCAATCAAAAGATCAGTGATTCAAACCTACCAGACCTTCAGCTGGAAACAGGTTTTGCACTCTGCTTCTGTAAAGATTACAGGGTCTGAAATCCTATTGAGCCATTCTACTCTGCCTTACAAGGTCAGCATTTGACCTTGTTGAAGCCAATTGTTACTTGTTGGCTATGTGTTTATAACAATCAGTACATCTATTTCTTTCTCTATCTACTAGGAAAATACAATTTATCATAAAATAGACATTTTTGTGAGTAAATATAGAGCTGCTCATAATTGTATAACAGATATTAACTAAGTCTTTCTTTAGTTAA